CTCTCTCTCTCTCTCTCTCTCTCTCTCTCTCTCTCTCTCTCTCTCTCTTTCTTCTTGACAGTACTGTTGTTGCAAGTTCAGCCTTAACAATAGGCGGTGCTTGGTGGGGGTGTTTCAGAATATCTAGTCTTTGAAATTCCTCCCTCCCTTTTTCAGACAGAGTCTCATTATAAGCTCCGAGTGGCCTAGAATTCACAGACATTTGCCTGTTTCTGCCTCCCAAGTGCAGGGCTTAAAGGAATGTGCCACCACACCAGTCACCATATATTTTTGACCTAAATACTGATATTTTCCATAACAGTATTAAACTATCAAAAACCCGAGGTTAATATTTGTGTAATGCTGTTTCTTTTTATTCACTGAGTCACACCTCTAGCTCTGGGTGCAATTCTGTTCATTGAACTATTGTCCTTTTCCCCTTCCAGTCTAGTATCTCATACACTGCAATATAATTGTATGCCTCCTTTGTCTTCTGCAATCCAAGATAACCTTGTCTTTACTGACTTTTGAAAAGTACAGCTCAGTAGTTCCAGGACAGGCTCCAAAGCTACAGAAAAACCCTGTCTTGAAAAACAAACACACACAAAAAAGAGAGAAAAGTACAGCTCAGTTATTTTGAAGAAAATAATGTCAGTATGGGTTGAATGATGACTTTTCATAATTAGATGAGGTTATGAGTTTGGGACAAGAATTTCAGAGCTGGGGCTAGGGAGATGGCTCAGCAGTTAAGAGCACTTACTGCTCTTGCATAGGACTTGGGTTCCGTTCCCTGAACCCACATACTGACTCACAACCATGCTAACTACTTCTAGGAAATCCAAGGTCCTCTTCTTAATTCACGGGCACCAGGCACATGCATGGTGCACCTGCGCACCATTCGTATGTATAAAATTAAATTAAAAAAGAATTTCAGAGATGATACACCCCTCTGATTATGAATCAGAGTTATGACAATGTTAATATGCTTTATTACAGTTTTTCTGAATTATTTTTAAAAAATTTGACACCTGGGTCTCACTTAGCTCAGGCTGACCTTGAATTCATTATATATCTGAGGCTTGCCTTGAAATCCTGATTCTCCTGCCTCCACCACCCAAATACTGAGACTATAGGCATACAACACCAGGTCTGAATGCTGCACTTCTTTGGTTGTTAATTAGCTTTATTTATTTGCCCAGCATTGCAAACATACCTAAACTCCTCATTCTCTAAGCATGTACAATTATATAACAACTGAAACAACAATTAAATAAATCAACCTTACTAAAAAGGTCTTGCTCTGATCTTAGTCCTATAAATAATCACTTTTTAAAAAAGACAAGCTCTTTCTATGTATCAGGACTGCCCTGAAACTCACTTTGTAGACCAGGTTGGCTTCAAACTCACAGAGATCAGCCTGCCTCTGCCTCCCAAGCAGTGGGATTAAAGACATATGTCACCATACCTGGCTCATAATCACTTTTTTTACACAGAAAAATTCAGTATTTTTATTTAAGTTAGTCATTCAGGGTGGTGGTTGAATAAGAATGACCCCCATAGACTCATATATTTGAATGCTTAGTCTTCAGGGAGTGACACTACTTGAGAGGGATTAGGAGGCGTGGCCTTCTTGGATAGGCGTGTACTTGTTGAAGGAAGTGTGCCCCTGTGGGTGGGCTATCGGGTTTCCAATGCTTAAGTCACACTCAGCGCCTCTCTCTTCCTACTGTCTTCCTATCTGGATGCAGTACTCTCAGCTATTTCTCCAGCACCATATCTGCCTGCATGTTGCTATGCTTCCCGCCCTGGTGATCATGGACTAAACTTCTGAAACTATAAGCAAGCCCTAATTAAATGCTTTCCTTTAGTAGGCATTGCCATGGTCACAGTGCCTCTTCATAGCAATATAACACTGACCAAGACATTTAGTAATATTAAAATATGTTTTTAGTAGTACAGAGCAAACTTACCAAAGCCTCACTATCGTCAGATAGCCAGAGAAAATAAAATAAAGATGAAGCGTGATCCTAATTAGTCTTATCAATAAAATATTGAGATGATCTAATCAAATGTAAAAGACTGTGTCAGATTAAAATGAAGAGTCTTGTAGATCAGGTACATACCTATTATGAATAATGAAAAATTTGAGACTTTTTCGGTGCATGGATTATTGGCATTTGAAAGTGTCAGGGTCTAGCCTTGACAGGGTTCACATGTTCCAGGGTAGGGGTGTCAGGATAAGAAATATTAGTCAAGAGGAACAGAGATACGGAAAGAAAAGGAACGGAGATGCAGAATAGAACTGGGCAGGCTATCCAGTGAATACTGGATTTGTCAGCGTTTATTTTCCATACGCTTCCACCAATCCAAAAGGTGGGGGTGAAGAAGGCAAAAGACTGCTTCAACATGATACAAAGAACAAACAGAGGAATTGCCTCTTCAATACCTGACACATCAAGCAACTATATCCCAAATTAAGCATTCTATTGTTTAAGCAGGACATACACCTTAGACCAAGCATCCTGCAGGCAGCCACTGTTTGGGTCACACCTCCTGTCATATCCTTGAAGAAGCAAGAATAGGCTTGAATTCTCTGACCTGTGGTCAATGTAGAACGAACCCACTTCTGTGGGCCCCCACAGAAAAGCTTAATTTAGCACTACCTAGATGACTTAATGGGTAAGAAATGGGTAAGAATATCTGCTGTCAAGCCTGTAAATCTGAGTTCAATCCACAGAACCTATATAGAGAAAAGATAGGGCTAGAAAGATGGCTCAGCAGTTAAGAACACTAACAACTCTTCCAGAAATAAACCTAAGTTTATTTCCCAGCAACCACATGGTGGCTCAAAGCCATCTAAAATGGGAACTGATGCCCACTTCTGGCATGTAGGTATGTATATATGCAGTAGAGCACCATATACATAAAATAAAGACATCTTTAAAAAAAAACTAGACCTGTCACTAGCTGTCTTCTGACAGCCAGTCAGGCTTACAAGTGCTATAGGATGGGATGCACACACTCACCCACATACATACAAACACAAAACAAATGAATAAAGTAAAACAAAACCTGAAAAACAACTTTTATCTAGTTACATGTAAAGTGAGAAACAACGAGAATAAAATAGAAAACATCCATAAGTTACAGGTCAAAGGATTTTTCTGACCACAAATCCTCAGTGTGGCTCAACTCTTGAGGTGCTTCCATTGCCACTCTGCACTTAATTAGGGTTGCTTGTGAGGACAGGAGTGGTTTACTTGAGAAAGGGCAACTTAAGGTAGCTACACCACTGAGGAATATAACACCCGTTCCCCTACCAACCATTAATTGCCTATAGTTCCCAAGGAAGGATGGGGCCTACTATGCTCCCTCCACA